CAGCAGGTATTCCGCTGCGGAAGTAGGCAACAACGACTCACAACTCCAGATGGTTGAAAGTTTTGTAGAATTATTTCTCATAAAAGAGGTATTAGAACAAAGTAGTTTCTACTGAGTTGTCAAAGTTTGTGCCGTTTCTGAAATTTTCTGGAAAATGTTTCGGCAGCACTTATACATCATTGGTAAGTAGAAGTCTCCCTCTAAAATAGTGTGTTTGATTTATTAAGTGATTTTAGACTTGTTACAGAAGTGATTGAAAACGTATTTCCAGAGTACTAGAGGACTAAAAAGCTCAACCGACAGCTGAAGCCATTTTACGATAGACGATACAAATATCAGTGATTTTGACCTTACCATCATAAACCCACCTCACTATTATAGAGAGCATTTTTGAACCAGAAACGGGTGCAATTTTTGTAATCAATGCCCAATAGCTCCACTATACTACTTTGTAGCGGTACCTACCGTGGCTTACAGTAACACCATACCGGAGAAAAAAAATATGATATCTAAGCGTATTCAATTGCCCTACTAGATAGCGTTGTAGAACTTTCAAGCTTCTCATATTCCAGAAAATTAACTGTTGGTTGGGCTTTTTTTCTGACATCTGGATCTCCAATCTCATCATCCTAACTTCAGAAAACCCACTTCAATGGATTAGCCAAGCAACTTGTAGTGAGAGGCTTGTTCGAATAATACATATTTTGCTGCCGAAAATTTCGATTTCGAAAAAACGGTGCGAACGTAGTCGATAACTCAATACAAAAGTTGGTTTCTTAATAGGGCAAATTTAAATTTATAAGCAACTAAAGTTCAATGCATAACCAAAAGAAAATAAATCACAGAAAAAACCGATCCCACCTGAGCGGTTGTGAGGCGCCACCGCAAATTTCCCTTCGCAGATTATTAAGTGACTCAAATTGAAACACCCTTCGCGGCTTGCCATTCATCTGCAGTGATGTCTTGTAACATCTAATGTAATTGAAAATGGAGAACTTCCAACAAACTAACCGTTTCACTTTGAACACTGTCTTCTTCTTTACTTCCTGTCACTTCAACTATTTCGACCGATGATGAAGGTTTGGCATTCGAAGCTGAGATGAATTCATCCAAACGACGTTCTCTTTTGTCCACACGAACAAGCTAAACAACAGGTGTTCAATTCTACTCTCCACCAGTTAAGCGTGGTTTGTGTTATAACGTCTGCTCGTCAAATTTTCTAGATGTCAAATTCCAGCATCGTCCGAAATATGTGTGTATCCTTCTACATCCTTCACAATTCGTAGGCGT